CTCTCTCTCTCTCTCTCTCTCTCTCTCTCTCTCTCTCTCTCTCTCTCCCCCTGTAACTCTGGTTTTTCATTGTGGAAGCTTGACAGAGTGACTGCTGTCCTGTACAATAAAGCCTACCTCCAAAGAGTCCCAGTTTGAGGCCCCAGAGGGGAGTTTTGACAGTCTCACTGTTTGTTTGCATCCTTTCAGTCAGATTGAGGAGCATGTTCAGAATGAAGAGTGCTTCAGGGAGTGGACATGCTTCAAACCCAGTTCTAGAGTCTGAAACAGAGGTGGGGGGTTATCCCACCAATTGAGCTAAGGGTGAGGCTCTTGAGATAGTTTATACTAGCTTCAAGCATCACTTATCCATGACACTTATTTCCGGGTTCTTGATCTTTGGGGACTCTAATTCTACCTGGGCATAATCTGATCAAACAAATGGCACTTGGAGTCTAGTGTATAACAGACATTATGTGGGCTTTGTAAAATATACCCACCAAAGCAGTCCATGAGAGTACATGCTTCCTCCTTTGAAGTAATTTCCTCTACTTCATGGTCACATTGCTTCATGGTCAGCATCAATGCTGTCACCAGGGCAGGTGATGGAGATGACTCCTCCCTAGTCAGCATAGCAGCTTATTTGACCTTGTGACTGTTGCTTTAGCCCCACAGCTACACCATTAAAGGGTATTTCTGCCTTTTCTGGTTTCTTTGGGGGGTGAAATCTGTGTGGGGCCGCATTGTCTAATAGAGTCAACACAGCCAGAAATACCTGCGTTCTAATCTTGGTCCTGCCACTGATTTGCCTTGTAACCTTGGGAACAGTTAGTGATTGTACAGGATTTTGAAATTACATAAATGAAGCTCTTTGTAAGTGATGAGTATTTACTCCTCATTTGTTCCACTGTAGTAAGGGTTAATTTTTCTTCTTCCTCCCCAGGCATATGGCAGAGACTTAATGGAGGCTCAGGAATGGTGCAGGAAGTACATGAAATCAGGAAATGTCAAGGACCTCACCCAGGCCTGGGATCTCTATTACCATGTGTTCAGGCGGATCTCTAAGCAGCTGCCTCAGGTGGGGGGAGAGGTACAGTTCTGGGTCTTACAGTGTAAGCTGTCAAAACCCATATGTGTTTATCCAAAATACTCAACAAGGGTATTCCAGAAATACCTGCTGCTGGCTTGCACCTTATGCGGTGCTTTTTGCAAGTAACTGAAGTACTGATGGTTGACTGTGAACTGTTCTAGGCCCTCCATAAAATCAACTCTTTTAATATTTCAGTGGTATTAAATAGACACATAGAAGTATATAAAACTCTGGTTTTGTTTGTTTGTTTCTTGCTGGCAGCTCACTTCCTTAGAACTACAGTATGTGTCACCCAAACTCCTCATGTGCCGGGATTTGGAATTAGCGGTGCCAGGAACATATGATCCCAACCAGCCAATCATCCGCATTCAATCCATTGCACCATCACTGCAGGTCATCACGTCCAAGCAGAGGCCCAGGAAATTGACATTAATGGGTGAGACGTGCAAGTTGAGTTTAGCTCAGACTGTATACGTTTTCAGGAAAGTCTTCCTTCCACTATAGTCCCTTTAGAAAGCTGATTTTTCATTTTCTGTAAATGATTTTCAGGACAGGCCAGCTGTTCAGATTGCCCTACTTTCCTATTCCTGGAAATATCAACATGTACTCTCTCCCTAGCGCCTCATCAAGAAGCAAGCATGGAACTGGAGGATAAGGGAAATACTTGTATAGAGTGTCTTGCATCCCAGCGTGCTTCAGCTACATAGCTAAAGTAACACTGACCCGTAGCCATCTTTGGGATGGAGGCTGTCAGCCAACTGGCCCATGGCATGCTACGCAATAGTGGAAAGGAAGGGAAATTATATAATCAGCATAATATCTTTGATTTTATGTTCAGAACAAACAGGCCGTTGGATTTTTATGTTCTGTCTGAAAAAACATTTAGTAAAATGCATTGTATTCAACTCCTTTAACCCAGCAGAGTGAAAGGCTATATCGACTTTGACAGGAGTCAAACCCATGGCTGCAGGGAGTAATGTTATAAGGCTGATGTTTAGGCCACCAGTTTGTTCCTTTGGCTACACACAGTTTGGAAGAGCAAAAGGAACTAAAGGAAGAGGGGTATGCAGACCAAGAAAGCGAGTGGAGGACTGGAGTAGGATTAGATTTACATTGTATATGAAGGCCTGAATACAGTGACGGGGAGCTTGAGAGTGAGTGAGTGTGGAGAGAGATGCCAAAGGTGACAACATAATTCACAACTGCAAGAAAGCAGTAGAGCTTTTGTGCATTTTGTCATGTCAGTGTCCTATTGTCTTATTTATCTTAGTATTGCATCTCCTTCTGAAGGATGGAGTCTTGGTGACCTTTTTTTAATGAATACCAACCATTTATTCAAGAAATCAGGACTTGTTTTGTTGCATTATTCCTTAACAAGTGAATTTCCAACCTCAGAAAGAAGTTTATAAAATATATCTATCCAACATTCTGAATCTTGCTGTCATTCTGTCCGTTTAAATGTGATTCAGACTTCATCTAATTGTTCAAGTAAGATATTGCACTCCACCTCACTACGCCCCGTATCTTCTCTTACAGGAAGCAATGGGCATGAGTTTGTATTCCTTCTGAAGGGCCATGAGGACCTTCGCCAGGATGAAAGAGTGATGCAGCTCTTTGGACTAGTCAACACTCTGCTGGCCAATGACCCGACATCTCTGCGTAAAAACCTCAGGTATTTGGAGCAAATATAGGATCTTCTAATGCATTAATGCCGATGCACCTAACGCCACTACGCTTTCTGCTAGCTGATGAAGAAATGGAAAATCCAGTAACACAGAACACAAAATGCAACATTTATGTAACTCATAGCTGGAGATAATGTACGTCGAAAGGAGGAGGGGCTTTTTTATGTTTGTTTTTGTTTTAAATAAAACCCTTTCGTTGGAGTTTCTTCATCTTCAAGATGATGGCAATTCAAGGCATTTCTGTGATTGGCTCTGGAGCCTTAGAGCATTAATAATCTTGTGGGCTTACTAGAGTCCAGTGACTGTTTTGTTGATATTGTAATGTAGTTTATAATCCTACTTTGGAAGGTACATATAATCTTGTGAAATGGTGGATTCTTGACAAGAAGATTTTAAAATAGCCACTGCATACTCACACTGGTGCTCAATTTAAGTAGCCCCTGACTGTAGTTCTGCACCCTTGTGTTTCACATGTGAGCACGTATCAAGCAGAATGCCATCTGCAATTAATTGAATGTTGTGGGTCACTTACCACAAAGCTTCAGAAAGCGAGCTCTCAATGAGCTTAACATAAACTGCTTAAAATAATTCTTAAGAGTAAACAGTAGTACTCTTATCAAGAACTGTTCTCCAGTTAATTTGAAAAAAGACTGGGTGATAAAGTAATGAATTGGATACATCACATTCCCCAGATTTAGGTGGTGGGTTGCTCTAGACCGGTAGATTTTGAACATCATGAAAATACACCAATTCCTAATGTCCAGCAATTTGAGCTGTGATTTTTTTTTTTCCCCTCTCTCTCTCCCTAGCATCCAGAGATACGCGGTTATTCCACTGTCTACAAACTCTGGCCTGATTGGCTGGGTTCCCCACTGTGACACTCTGCACGCGCTCATCCGAGACTACAGGGAAAAGAAAAAGATCCTTCTCAATATCGAACATCGCATCATGCTGCGGGTAAAGGGCAAGACTGGCACACAATTCGCTGTTCTGTTCGATCTCCAATAGCCCTCTGAGTAGTGAGAGCAATGGGACAGGCTCTTGTTCCCATGTATTTACCTGTCTTTTGATCCCTTTTCGTATTAAAATTACTTTAATAACTGTGCACGAATATAAAATAAAAATGCTAGACTATTCCAAAGCACTCATAAATTAGTGATAGGCTGTGGAGTTATTCACCTCTCACTTGCCATGTTGATAGTGACCACAAGTTCTTACCATCTTACAGCTAAAATGAGGTTGGTAGAGATCAGTCTGGTTCCTAGCAGATCTGTCCATATCACAAAGAGTGCCACGGCAGCTGATATTTACTAGTATAAGCAGAGCCCCAAAATTTAATGAGATATGAAAATTGCACATTGGTGGGGGAAGTAGAGGGAAGCTCGTACTACTGGTTCTGTCAGTAAACAGAGTGGGTATCATAACCCAGAAGACTTAATCTTTCTCCAGAACTAAAATTCTCTCTCAGCTCTTTTTTAACAATAAAAGTAGCTGTTGGAATGCTTGTGGCCACACCGTGGGGTATTGCATCTCAAAGGAGTTCTTTTGGCTGAGTTTGCTGAAAATGAATTGGTTTGTGCTGCAGAGCAATTAATGGTAATTTAATCATTTTCTCGTTGTTTTACTCTGTAAACTAGTAGAGATTGACACATTCCTCATATTGCAGCTGTTTCAGAATTGTTATGAAAAACTTGGTGACTGCTGAACAACATTTCTCTATTTTAGATGGCTCCAGACTACGACCACCTGACTTTGATGCAGAAGGTGGAGGTGTTTGAACACGCTGTCAATAATACTGCTGGTGATGATCTTGCCAAACTGCTGTGGCTAAAAAGTCCCAGCTCTGAGGTACATTCACCTTCAGTCACTACTAATGACTCTTGCAGACAGCTAAATATATTGTCCTCTCTGTGAACGGAGTGTTCGCAGCATGTAAATACATGTCTTTGTTTATAGGTACACAACTGAATGAAGATTATTCCCTTGATTCCCAAGAGCTGCATATGATATATTTTGTATGATGATGATAAAGAATTCATGGATGAAAGACTAAGATTTAATTTACTGTTAGAGAAATTAAAATGGTGAAATGTAAATTGAATTAGCATAATTAACCAGCTTCAGTGCCTGTGCCTTGTATGCATTTTCTGAATTTGTTTGAGGCACACCCAGTTTAATCCGAACTGTTTCATTTCATCTCTTATTTTTCAGGTGTGGTTTGACAGAAGAACTAATTACACCCGCTCACTAGCTGTGATGTCAATGGTTGGGTACATTTTGGGCCTTGGGGACAGGTAAGTGAAATTGGAATAGTTTCTTTGAAATAAGTGCCGCTAACGAGGATTTATAGATTCCATTCTGAAATAGTTGTCATGCTCCCATCAGCTCATTCCCTGGCTATTCTCTTGTGATAACTACTTTCATCTTGGCTATTCCAAACTCCAAATGATCTCATCTTTCAGGGCCTGCCACTACTCTCATTAACGTCAGTGCTCCAGGATCAGGCCCTAGGGTTTGTATGTCTCTTGACTGCATGACATGAGTGTCTTCTCTTTCGTAAGGCAGTGTGGTTGAGAGGAATAAATACAAAACTAAGGAGCTGAGAGTTCTAATTCCAGACCTACCACTCACTCACTGAGTGGCCTTGAATAAATCACTTAACCTGGTACCCCATCTGTCAAAAAGAGGTAACCTCCCAGTGTTGTTACTCTGGGAGGATAAATGACTGTTTGCGCAGTGCTTGGTAGATAGCGAGCATTCATACTGACAGCACTCAATATTTCCTTTTTAAAGAGGTAACCTAAGTGTATCTTGTATCACAACTGCTACAGGAAGTGTAGCTCACTGCTGCCATCACAACTTTCACACAGCATCAATCTAGTGTGCCTCTTTCCCTTGAGACATCTTATCTGGGTGAAAAACAGGTGCTTGATATTAATGGGTTTTTAGTGAGGTCTTTAATACAGTTTCCTTTGTGTCACTTAATTCTGATTTTCTTGTCCATAAATATTACCTAGGAAGTATATGATTAAATATGTATGTAGATAATATTTAAAACATACATTATTTTCCTCATACTAGTCTGCTGTTCAAATGCATATTGGTGTTATTGGGAGTTAAAATAAAAACTGGAATACAACAGCATGAAAGACAGTACTGTAATACCCAGCATCTTCCTAGTCTAAGATTGTCTCTGATAACAGCCTGATTTCCTCTCTTTACTTGCAATATGCTCGTTAAATTTCTCTAAGCTGTAAAAATGTAAAGTCATTATAAAATTAGTGGAATATCAACCCTAAATATAAAAGAAATATAACCAAAATGTGCATATCCAAAAATATAGTGATGCGTCTGGTCTAATAGGACATTTATCTTCAAAAACAAGAGGATTTCTGATAACTCCTGAGTTGTAATTACAGAATCTAATCACACCAGGATGGAAGTGCTTCAGGAAAGCTATTTATCATGAGATAACTTCCCGATCAGAGGTCTCCAATCATTGGCTGTCTTCTGACTTGCAAAGATAAATGTCCTCCTAGACAAAAGCCATGACTTACTTTTGATACATTTTTCTATAACTCTCTAATCATCTGTCACTCTGGCTTCTCTCCTGTTCCTTCCACAAAGACACCCTTCCAACCTGATGCTAGACAGGCTGAGTGGAAAGATCCTGCATATTGACTTTGGGGACTGTTTTGAGGTGAGCTTTTGTACTAAAAATGTGTTGTTTTAAAAAAAAAAGTGTTTATTTTTATATTTCAGAAATATCCTGTTATCTAGTACAGCAAAGGCAGAACTAGGATCCAGGAACTCCTGAGTTCTTATTTTAGCTCTGACACTGACTTGCAGTATGGTCTTGTGGCATGTCACTTAACTACTTTGTGCCTCACTTTACCTGTCAGTAAAATGGAGAGAATGCACACCTACCTCACCAGAATGTTGAGATTAGTTATACAATTGTTTTACAAACATTGAGTGCTAAATATCAGTAGTGGTTTTCACATAAATCCTTACACCAATTTGTGATTGAAATATGGAGTACTCTATTCCAACAGCACGGGCACAGACTCTTAGTTTGATTCTTACATTCCTTATCTAGTCATGTTTACAGCTTCCCTCAAAAAAAATTCCAATAACTAGAGAATCATAGAAAAGTAGGGCTGGAAGAGACCTTGAGAAGTCATCAAGTCCAGCCCCCTGCACAGAGACAGGACCAAATAAACCTAGACCATACCTGACAGGTATTTGTCCAACCAGTTCTTAGAAACCTCCAAAGATTGGGATTCCACAACCTCCCGTGGAAGCCTATTCTAGCACTAACTTCCCTTATGGCTAGAAAATTTTTCCTAATAGCTAACCTAAATCTCCCTGGTGGCAGATTAAGCCCATTAACTTCTTGTCCTACCTTCAGATGATATGGAGAACAATTGATCACAGTCTTCTTTATAACAACCCTTAACATATTTGAAGACTATCAGGTCCCCCTCAGTTGTCTTTTCTCTAGACTAAACATAGCCAGTTTTTTTAATCTTTCCTCATAGGTCAGGCTTTCTAAACCTTTTATCATTTTGGTTCCTCTCCACACATTTCTTTCCTTTTTTATAACCACAACATTCAGAGTTATATCAGGCAAGCCAGTCCCTTACTTATTAACAAACTGCTTTTTCAAGGAAGAGGAGAAGGAAATATCTGCAAAGTTAGTGTATTAGTTAACTGATTCTCTTCTATTGTGTATTCAGGTTGCAATGACAAGAGAGAAGTTCCCTGAGAAGATTCCATTTAGACTTACAAGGATGTTGACAAATGCTATGGAGGTAGGTGGGAGTTAGCAGCCACCTTTCTAATAGGACAGAAAGGGGACTGTTCCTAAGAAGATGTCAGTGGTTCCCCAGCTATCCCTGTGTGTTCTACTGTAGTGGAATCTCCCCAATTCCATAAGGAGCCGAGGTGCTAATATTTCAGCTGCATTTTCCTTTAAATAGATTTCCCATGTGACCTTTACAATATGAAAACAACTCTTCATTGATTAAAAGGAAACACGGTCCTGTAATTTCCCAGGCCTCTCCATATTTCCTCAGCCCAAATATTGGCCATGCACCAAACACAGTCCAGTAGCACAGGGCTTCAAGATGAGTGTCACCTGGACCTCATTTCCATGTCACCAGCAAGCAGTAAATCAGAATATTGGGGCCTCTTAAACTTGTAATGAACCTGTATCTTCTGTTAATAAATGGAACATGGTGTAAGGGGATTCTGGTCAAGATACAGGCATGTCCTGCCATGGGAATGATGAGGGCTGGAGTCAGAAGGTAAAAGGAGCACCACCGTTGATTCAGTTCTTTCTGTTCTGAAGGTGACTGGCCTAGATGGTAACTACAGAATCACCTGTCACACTGTGATGGAAGTCCTGCGAGAACATAAAGACAGTGTCATGGCTGTGCTAGAGGCCTTTGTCTATGACCCCTTACTGAACTGGAGGCTGATGGACAGTAAGTTATTTGGGGAAACAGTGAGAGCAGGGGAGAGAAGTAAATCAGAGTAAACTGTATAAATGTAAGACATTCAGGAGCACAAAATCAAATGTCTTCAAACTCAGGCCTTGATGGTTTAAATCTGCAGTCTATGCACACACAGAAATGTTAACAGGACTGTGTTCAAGAGTCCTAAAATAAAGAAACACAGAGATGAAACCCCATTTGCCCTTAAAGGGAGAGGTGAAACTAAATTAAAAACAAAATTACTGGAGTGCTTTTGAATTATTTGTCATCTTTATTTTGAAAAGCCACACACACATTATCTGCAGTTGTTAGTTTGCCTGAAGCAACAGGACACTTAACCCTTTGTCATTCAGAGAAAGTCCGATTCAGTTTGAGAAGCTGATATTTCCAAAGTCTATAGTTCAAAGATAAAAACACTTAAGCATTTTATTTTCTTTGCAGCAAATACAAAAGGGAATAAACGATCACGAACAAGGACAGACTCCTATTCAGCTAGTCAGTCAGTAGGTGTGTATAACGTTTTACTGTATTTAATTCATTTGGGTCATTTTTAATTGGAGCGTAATTCTGAAAGATATTTTTCTAGTCTTTTTCTTTTTCAAAAGCACAATGGAAAAAGCGCTTATTGAAACTAGGTTTCAAGGCACTAAGTATCTAGTTTTGGTGCCTGTTAATCTCATAATTATATATATAATCTACTGCTGAGCTACCTCAGCTTGAATAGCAGCCACTGCTTTGTAGTCATATTCACATTGTAATGTGGCATCAAGATTTTTGTGGAGTACCTAAGAGTTGCTGCAACCCACAGAGTAATTATGACCTGTGATATGTACTGTACTTGCTCGGTTTTGCATAGTAATGCTGCAGTAAGCTCAGTAAAGTTTCACATAGCAACATAGTGGTAAATATGTTATACAAAATCCTAGCAGCTGGTTGCTAATGGACTTATAGGAGAAATGTCAAAGGAAAGCATTTACTATAATGTTTAATACTAGGGTTTCAATAACTTCAGTTACTTGGCTACTATTTTAAGTTAATTGTGCGTCTCTTTAAAATATCTTTCAACTAGCAAAATGTACTGAAGGGTCCTTTAAGGTTAACTGCGGCTTTCAGCACATAAACATACAAAGTATGTTTCAATTTTGAGTTATAATCCCTTTAATCAGAGCAATGGGGGCATTCAGCACACTTAGCCACAATTTAGTAAGCTTCTCAAAAACAAGTCAGTCAATCCAAGTCACCAGTAAGACTGCGGGGGAGGGAGGGTTATTGGTAAATGCTATATAGAATATGATATTCAAAGCTTCATGCAATACTGAAGTACATTGGCCAATTTAATGCTCCATTTCCTTGTATCAGTTTTAATGACAACGTAAACATTTTAGCATAGTCCTAAAAAGGCATTTTGCTCAACATGTTATATTTAATCTCATGATGCTCCTAGCTCTCATTCAAACACACATACACCAACAAGTGCTTTAAATAAATTCACTTGCATGTTGGGAAATGAAGAATTTATTTTCTGTAATCTTAGATGCTGTTGGAGAACTTCTTTCTTTTGTATAGACTAGATCAGTTGAAGTGCTGTTTTCTGCAAATGTTGTAGCAGTGACCAGGCATAAAAAAAAAAAGTTTAAAAGTGCAGTTGCCCATCACATAACTTCATGGTGGTAAGAACTGCATGTAAACCAGAAGCTTTACACAACATACTTGAGCTTGTGTAAGGTTTTTTTGAGCTACAAACTGAACCTTAAAAAATGTTACTTTATCTGCCTTTGGGCTTTATATTTATACTGCCATAATTTCCTTTAAAATCAAAGTTTTTACACTGTTGAAAGTGCTGTGCAGGAGAATCTCCTGAAAAGCAAACAAATGCCAATCTTCTTTGTATTTGATGACTGTACTGATATTCTCCCCTCTCTCATTAGAAATGTTGGATAATGTGGAGCTGGGTGAGACAGCCCATAAGAAAACTGGGACCACAGTGCCTGAATCCATCCATTCCTTCAGTAAGTTCCTGTGCAAACCTCATACATTTTACATTATGGGCAACTAGTTCATAAATCAGCACCTTCGGCGCTGTACAGATGACAGCTATCCAAGGTGGGGCAAAAATGGGTTCTCTGTCAGCATAGATAAGAACTTGTAACTGTCTGCTCTCTTCTCTAATTAAACCCAGTAGCTTACAGCAGTTTGTGTGTCAACTGTTCATGGCAAAAAAGTAACTGCATCACAAATTGTTTTGATCATTGTTATCCAAATAAAGTCTAAACGTTGTTTTCACTTCTGTCTTCTAGTAGGGGATGGGTTAGTGAAGCCAGAGGCTCTCAATAAGAAGGCTATTCAAATTATTAACAGGGTTCGAGATAAACTCACTGGTAAGTGTATACTTTCTAAAATAAAACATCGTAAAAGTAATACAGACATTAGAATTACGTTCAGGTTTAAGAGCTTGCCTGGCACTATCATATTTCAGTTTTGTGCTAGTTCTTCATCAATTTTATTTCAGATTATCCTGTTTCTTAATTGGGCAGAGCCATTTAATATATTTGGGCTTTGTAATTTGTATTCTGGAAGGCAATCTTACTTGGAAAATGTAGAGGTAATTTTAATTAATGTGTATCAGATCTGACCAATTCATCTTTTAGGTGATGATTCTAAATCAATTCTCCAGCAACCAGCTTTCCTTTTACTGGCTTTGCAACTGGAAAAATTTAGATGTGACATTTTAGACTCTTAATGATGTATATAAGAACCACTAGAATTAGGTACTTAATGAAGCTAGGCAGTGGATTCCTTCTACTAGGAATTTTTAATAAGTACATTACTTTTGTCTGTTTGAAGGAGAGGGTGGGGATAGAGAAGATGCTGATGGGTCATCGAAAACACTTGTGTTCTAAAGATTCAAAATAGACACAATGTGGCTTTTGAGGTTTTGTCTTTGAACAGTTCTGTGCCAAATATATATTACAAGAGGACAGAAAGTCATCTTTACATTGCTCCACAACTTGCCAACCAAACCAAGCTATGTAATTTGGCTTACGGCCTTCCTTAATGTTTCTTTCACTTTAATTGTAAAGGTCGAGACTTCTCTCATGATGAAACTCTGGATGTACCCACACAAGTAGAATTGCTTATTAAGCAAGCTACTTCCCATGAGAATCTCTGCCAGTGCTACATTGGATGGTGAGTTTGTCTTTAAACTAGCCTTCCAAATGGAGAACAGTCAAGTAAAATATCATTACTCTTATCTCCGTAATCATGCTGAGGATGGCTGAGTAGACATTGTGTCTAAGCTTGTAAACTTTTGTGACCATTTTGTTAGGTTACCTTAGGCACTGCTCTGTAAGCAAGCAATCTGTTATAAATAGAAATGGGGATTATTTAAATCAACTCAGAGGTTTTACGCATTTGAAATAAGATGTTCCAATTGTATGTATATCACCAATTGCTAGTTATGGTAGGGAAACTCCATACTCTAATGTCAACAAGTACACTTTTATAATGCCTTCATCTTTCTTAGATTTCTTAACTGTAGGTTGTATTTGAGGAACCAGAGAATTTGGGGGGTTTCAGACATTAGGAGTGTTGATCAGGGATCAAGAAGTAGGCTCAGGCATGGGTCTTTCCCATCCTCAGTGTCCTTGTGATTATAGAAAGGCTTCTGCACATTAGGAGACCTCAGTCCTTCTTAACCTAGTCTGTTTTTATGAAGCGATGGGTAAGATTGCACTATTAAAGTATGCTTTTGCCATCTTTAGGTGTCCTTTTTGGTAACAGAAGATTCCAGAGTATCCACAGCTTTTATTGGAGGCTTTTGCGCTCCAGATATATTCTTCTACAAACTGAAATCTTGGACTGAAATACAGCCTGTCAAATATTTTGAAATGTAAATTAAGAGTTATTGTATATTAAAAGTTGGTTTAAGCCAATTCATAGCTGCTGTTGAAAAACACAAGTTGTCTGAAACGTAAGACTTGATTTGGGTTTCCAGAACAATGAAGACTGACTAGACCACAAATATATGGTTCACTTGGTCTTTGGGGAACTGGTGACCCATTACAAATAACAAAATACGGGTTTTGACTTAACTTACAATGTAACTATACTAAAATATTTGCAGATGAATCATTGCCCTGGTCAGTCCTGTTGGTGTGGCTGCAGTGAACTCAGTGCACTCATGCAAGAATCCTCATTTAAGTGTGGGGACAGAGTTGGAGGGTAGAGAGCAAGAGAAAAGAAGCAGAGTTTTTCTGTCTGTATTACCCCATTATCTCTCCTATCCCAAAACTCTGTACACTCACCCAAAATCAGAGGGAGGGGATTGTAGTTGAAAGGTTTGTGTCTGACCCCAGTGGTGATGTAACCAGCACATTTCAGACTAGATCTGGATATAGGGGTAGATCCAGGATCGAAGACTCTGAGCCAGTCAAAGCAGGGTGGCTCAAAGAGAGTTGATCTATGGCAAGGAGGATGCAAGGTAAACTCAGAATACCACTTGGGAGCTTCCCACACTGGCGGACTAAAGAGCAGTATTGGGAAATAATTAGGGAAAACTGAATACTCAGCACAAAAAGCAGAAGGGAGGAGAACTGATCATACCTGGAAATGGAGAATAATGGATATTAAACATGAGTGAAGGTAAATAAAGTTATGATTTATTAATAAAACAAAATGCACAAAATACAAAGTGTAGCCATGTTTAGATGCCATGTTGTATTTGAATATTTTTGTGCCAATAAATCACACCAAAATGTGTAAAAAGATTTTGACTGGATTCATATTTATTCCAAAGCACTCCTTATGGAGAGCAGAATTGAGGCACAGCAGCATTACTCTAGCACAGCGGAACTATGGGTTGGGACCCCAAAGTGGGTCACGAACCCTTTTTAATGGACTTGCTGGGGCCAAACCCCGAGACCCACTGCCTGGGGCTAAAGCCTAAGGACTTCACCCCTGGGTGGCAGGGCTCAGGTTATAGGCGTCCTGTCTGGGGCTGAAGCCCTTGGGCTTCGTCTTTGGCCTACCCACCCGGGCAGCGGGGCTCAGGCTTTGGGGTTGTGTAGTAACTTTCATTGTCCAAAGGGGGTCACAGTGCAATTAAGTTTAAGAACCCCTGGCAGAAACCCACAGAAGGCACAAACACTGTTAGTAATGGATTGGATCTCTCTAAGAAACTTGTTTTTTTGTTATGGGTTTGACTGTCTTCTCCTATACCAGTCCAGATGGCTGGCTATAGCTCCTTCATGACAGCAGGTGGAGAAAAACAGTCAAGATTGACTACCTGTATCAAAGGAGTTTGCCTGTTCATAAATCTTTTTGTTTTAGTTTCCAGCAATTGCAACTATATCCTTAAGTGGGCTGCAATTTGGTAAGAACATGAACTTTCTTTATTCCAGATTTTTGGGCATTTTTCTTCTTAGCACAAGAAACTGATTCTGTGAGACCGAAGAAATAGAATTTTAATCTGATCGCTGTGGTGTGTAGTTGGAGGGATGATGGTTTAGATGACGTCTCTTCCTATCAAATGTTTTGTATTGATATAGATTCAAAGATGTTAAGGTTAGAAGGGCCCATTATAATTTTGCCTCCTGTATAACACAGGCCACGGAAACATATAGGAAATCCAAAGTGTCTGGACAGGGATAGGGAAAAAAAGGTTTTACCTGTTTTGATTTTGATTATTCCTGCTTCGAAATAATCAACTCCCCCCGACTGTATACTGGTGGAGGAATGTCAGGGGTAAAAACTTGAGCTGTAGTCTCCATCTGCTGGCAGATTGAAATTTATGCCACAAATCTCTGAACTGGTGTAGAACAAACTCCAAAAATCAAAGCCAGCTAACAAAGGTGACTGGTTATCTCAGGCTGTAGTCTGGTCAAGATTAGACGAGGCTTTCCTAGGAAATGTCCCTTTACTCCAGGAGTCAGGCTGGATAGCAGAGTGAATAACCTCTCCTCAACTGAAGTCAAGCCCCTGAGTGGTAGGGGGTGGGTTCAGGCTCATGGCCCGACCACAGCAAGGGCAGCATCCAGGCCCCTACGGCGTGGGGGGCAGTCGGCTGCACTGGGGCCCTGGACCTTGGCAGGAAGAGTGCCCCACTCCCAGGGACGGCAGCAGGCTTTGGCCCGGGGGGGGGGGGGGGGGGTTTGAAGGGTAGTTTGGGGGGGGGGGGGGGGAGGGTCCGTGCCGGGGAGGGGGGCGGCCAGTGCTGGGATGAGCGCCCCCAGAGCACGCTGCCGGCAACTGTGCGGGAGGCTCCGGGCCCATAAGGCGGACCAGTAGGTCGCCCCGTCCCGCCTCGCTCGGCCTCTCTGAGGTAAAAAGAGGGAAAGACCCAGAAAGTTATAGGGCAGCCCCTGCTCTCCCCGCCGCCTCTCAGTGCGTGCGCATGCGTCTTGCAGCGCTTCCGCCTTCCCTGCAACCCCCCCCCCCCGCCGTTCTGTTATCGCGCGAGACTAAGCTATTGTCGCGTCACGTGGGTCCGTGTCGAAGATGGCGGCTGCCGGCGGACTGGGGAGTCGTAGCGCAGCAGTTAAGACGGGCCAGCTAATGGACACGGGGAGTGGCGGCGCCACCGAGGCGCCGCCGGGAGGCTGCTCAGACGCCGTGCTACCGGGGTTCAGGGATGCCGACTCCTTCGTCAAGGTACGTGAGGGAGCCGCCGCAGACTACTACTCCCGGCGTGCTTTGCGACACACACACGCCGCAGCGGGGCATGCTGGGGACTGTCGTTCCTGCTCGCGGTCCTAGCTGATGCGGAGGCCTGAGGGGACGCTCTCTACACTGCATTTCCCAGCATTCTCCGTGCCCGCTGTAGCGGGGTTTGGGCGGCCGAGAGCGAGGCGGAGTGTTGCATGCCGGGCGTTGTAGTATGGGCCTTGCCCCCGTTTGCCCAGGGCCCTCGCTCTAAGGGGCAAGGCGGTGGGGGAGCGGGGCCTTGGAGCAGTGACCCTGCGCCCATCTCCTGCTGCTGCAGCCGGGGCCTGCACCACCCACCCGGTCAGCACAGGACTGGTCACCACGGGCTGGGTAGAGCTTGAGTGAGCCGGGCAGCCCGGGAGGGGGGGACCCAGGCGCCAGCGTGGGCACGGGGGGGGGGGATGCTGCCCCCACATACAACCTACATCCTCTCTGCCCCCCTCCCCGCACAGCACGCGTAGCCAGAGCTCTCCAGTGCGGCCTCCCAGCGCCGCCCACCTTAACCCATCTTGCCCCGGGAGAGGGGGGGGACAAGCTGCATCTCACTGCCGTGAAGTGGGTCCGTGTTTGCAGTTCTGTTACGTGGAGAGGTGTAGGCCACGGGACTCGGAACTAGAATTGTAAGCTGGGGCCTGTTGCCTCCATGGGCACTGGAGCCAGTCTCCCTTTTTCCTAATTTCATGCAGTCTTCCTATTCCTGGCAAATTGTCAGCATAACCCCTCCAATTAGTTAGGGCATTCCCTGCAGTGGAGGCTGGAGAACTAGAATCATGGGGGGTGAGATCAATGGAACCTAAACAGCCGGTACTAGCTCATGCATGGGCCCTGGTGCCAAAAGCAGCCCTAAATTTAGTTATCTGTGTCTTAACAGGAAAAAAATTCAAAGGAAACCCTCAGATTTGGCAACACTGGAGTGGTGGGAAGTGGGTTGTAGCCCACGAAAGCTTATGCTCTAATAAATTTGTTAGTCTCTAAGGTGCCACAAGTACTCCTGTTCGTTTTTACAGATACAGACTAACACGGCTGCTACTCTGAAACCTGTCTATAGTCTTAATTTTTTTGTAATGCTCTCCCTACAGCAAGAAGGGTTTTCAATATGCATTTAGCAGCTAGGTCTTGATTTTTGGGATATAGGTGGACATTTATATGGGACTGTTAATCCAAGCATGACAAAGCATTCTACAAACTGATTTAAAAACCACAGTATTGCCATCTCCATCATTACAAATTTAATTCCTAAACATTCCCTTACCCAGGGACCTTTTGTTGGCCTTGTCTACACTACAGAGTTAGGTTGATGTAAGCTGCCTTGCATCGACCTAACAATGGAAGTGACTACGCTTAAAATTTCGCTCCTGCAAACTTAACTGCCCTGCTACGCCAACTTAATAACTCCACCTCCATGAGTGGCGTAGAATCAAAATCAATGTAGTTAGGTCGACGCAGTGGCAGTGTAGACACGATGTTGCTTGCATAGATGGTTACTGGCTTTCAGGAAGCTTCCCACAATGCCCTACGATAAAATCGATACAAGCGCTGCTGGTAAGGACACGCACCGGTGATGCAAGGAGCGAAGTGTAGACACGCACAAACGATGCAATTACTGCAGTGGCTGTATGCCGATGTAAATTAGGTTGACTTAATTTTATAGTGTAGACATGGCCCTAGAGAGACAGCATTTCCTGGTTCTGAAGTTGGAGCTAGTATACCCATAATATTTCCATTAAACCAAAACATCTTCAGTTTAAGGTTTTTCTTTTCTTTTTAGTATTAGTTTCATTAACTCGGAAAGAAATGGTTGTAAACTCTCTTGTTTAAAAAGGCCTAGTTGTGTCTTGGTTTAGGAATAGTAATATAATGCGAGGAATGGGGTTACTGTGTGTTCATCTGGCAGGGTCATAGAAAAATGAAGATACATTGTGGAATTATATTTTAATGATGTGATGCTTTTTAACAGCATGCACTTGGCACTGTGGTGGCTGCTACTAAGGCATCTAATGGGCTCCCTCAGCCTGGAGATGAATATGACTTCTATCGCAGTTTTCCTGGATTCCGGGCATACTGTGAAACGCAAGGTGACAGGCTGCTTCACTGGTAAGGACATTTTGGCTTTCTTGTGTCAGTGGTGAAAACCTAGCTATAGGGAACAGAGTGAGGGGCAGAGAATTCTCTTCTTTGCAAATTTCAAAATAAAACAATATATGAGCATTTTTTATTACGTATATTTCAGCTGTATTTAAAAATGTGTCAGCTGCTTTTCTGATACATGAAATTTAAATGGTAATGATAAAAATTGAGTCATTCAATTTACCACTGTAAAGTAGCTGTAACAATTTAGGTGAAGAACTGAGCCAGGTGAGGGCTGATGGAAAAGTGACTTCCTAACCAGACGGCCCAATCTAAGTTCCATAGACCCAGTGGAAATGAATAGCAATACTTAGCACTTTCTCAGAGCTTCTCATGTTCAAAGCTCTTACAACAGTATCTAAAGGATCTGTATTTGATTTTGCAAACCTCAGAGTAGCCAGAGCTCAGGGAGGATCTTAATTGGTCCAGTCTTTAGTATACCTGCTTTTAATGTCATTTAAAGAGTAACTGAACTATTCTCTTGTTAGTATGAGCAAGGTGATGCAGTATCATGGCTGTCGCAGTCACATCAAGGATCGCAGCAAAGCAACAGAGCTGGAAGATAAATTTGATTTGCTGGTTGACTCCAATGATGTCATTCTTGAAAGAGTGGTGAGTAAACTTTCCCTGAGTTTTTTGTCTTGTAACCATTCAGCAGATCACTTTTTCTACAGAAATTGAAATGGCAATATTTCGCAATTACACATTGTTCCTCACTTTTAGATCTCTTTCATTTTAAACATTTATTCTCTTATAGTCACTATTTCTTAGGTATCTCTTGTTTAAAAAAAAAAAAAAAAATTACAGCCTCTATTTTTTACAGGCTATTTTTCTGAGCTGTCTGTCACTTTTCTGTATTTCAAATCACAGCAGTAGGTTGGAACTGAGCCTGTAAGGACGAGAATGATTACTTGTATGACAGCAGCACCTAAGGGCTCCAACTGAGATTGGGACCCATTGTATTAGGGTACATCTACACTTACCGGAGGGTCCGGCGGCAGGCAATCGATGTTCTGTGATCGATCCCGGAAGTGCTCGCCGTCGACGCCGGTACTCCAGCTCGGCGAGAGGAGTACGCGGCATCGATGGGAGAGCCTGCCTGTCGCGTCTGGACCTGCGGTAAGTTCGGACTAAGGTACTTCGAATTCAGCTACGTTATTAACGTAGCTGAATTTGCGTACCTTAGTCTGAAGTGGGGGCTTAGTGGGGACCAGGCCTTAGGTCCTGTACATACACACAAGCTGTCCCTTGGCTGAAGAGCTTGCAATCTAAATAGAATGGACAAAGGGCGGAAGGGAAAGCAGAGACACAGAAAAGTGACATGATTTGCCCTAAGTCACACAGCAGAAGGAATAGAAACCAGGGCTCCAACTGTTCCTGAAAAACAGAGACAGTCAATCAAACCTTTCCATTGCAAATGAGGAAGAGAAGGCTGCCTGTGTGGGTGCCAGAGCGGATGTATCATATACTACCCCAGGAGAGCAAGGGAGCTGGAATAATTAACCCAGCCATAAAGAAGGAAACAGGCTGGCAGCTGATTAAACTGACATGCGGCTGAGAGCAGAGACCTCAGTACCAGTCGCATTCAAAAGTAAAGTCTCTTAAACCAGTCATTTAAATCAGTGCTTCCCAGACCCCAATAATGGCACCTTGGGCTTTGGTGCTGTAGCCTCCCACAGCTTTATTCTCTGCTGCCTGGAACCTCATGCAGTCATTTACACTTGTGCAAAGTGAGTGTGAAAGATGCCTAAGAAAGGCCATTGCATCTGGGGCTGAGAATCTGGAGATCCATGTTCTATTCCTGGCTCTGCCATTGACCTGTGGTGTGACCTCGAGCAAGTCACATCACCTCTCTGGGCCTCAGTTTTCCTTTCAAACTTTTGTCTATTTAGACTGTCATCTCTTTGGGTCAGGGACTGTCTCTTACTATTTGCCTGTACTGTGCCGAGCATGATATGTCCGATCTCAGTTGGGGTCTCTAGATGGTGTCATAATGCACTGATTCCCAGGCCAGTGCCCCAGCCACTAGAAGACAATGCCACTTCTATAACAATGGTTCATTTCTCAGCATGGCTGAGAGTTGTTTACTTATCATGCTCTGCCAAGCAAATTAGATGCAAGACTAACTCTGTGTTGGCCCAATCTAAAAACTGGGCAGAGTGGAGGATAAGATATGAGAGGAGAGTGTGGGACTAGGATGATCAGCACATGAATACCTCTGAAGAAACTCTCCTTTGATTCCTTGGCAATTGCTTCTCCTAATCCCTAACATTAGAATTCCATACCTAGCCTTTGGCCACTCTTGCCCTTTACAAAATTCACAGTTGATGAGCTTGGAAGCAGCTGCACATTTCTCTCCTTTCAGTCAGGCTAGACTGCCAAGTACAGGATGTTTCATACAGTTTTGCTTAAGCTTCTTTTCCCGAATTTCAGGGTATTTTACTGGATGAAGCAGCAGGAGTGAACAAGAACCAGCAGCCTATCCTCCCTGCAGGGATGCAGCTCCCAAAGACAATTGTTTCCAGCTGGAACCGTAAGGTGAGACTTCGACAGTCAGCTGATTTTAATTAACTTGAGCTATTTGTTTAGGCTTGAGTTGTAGTGATGGTGGTTGGGAGTTCAGTAACCCAACGTCCCTTTAGATTTCTGGTTGTGCTTCCCCTTTCTTCACTCCAGATTCAGGATCTCTGGGTTTCTGATCTAGATTTCATGCACACAGATCTCTCTCTAACCTGAATTCAGGGCCCCAGGGCACCTAATTTAGATGCTATTGTATGGACCTTAGATACTGTGCTCTAATTTCAGGGGAGTTTTTCATTATTGTGTCTGGAGTTTAATATTCAGATGCATATAGGGTGAGTCTTAATAGACTATCTCAAAATCCATTCAAATGTGTTTTTAAACAGGGTGGAGAATCCCACAGAACAAAGTCTGAAACCTTCCGATTGCTACATGCCAAGAATATCACTCGACCACAGCTCAAATTTCGAGAGAAGATTGACAATTCCAACACTCCCTTTGTACCTAAGCTTTTTGTCAAACCCAACGCTCTGAAACCACTGCCTGAAGGTAAGAAGGCCAGAGCAAGAGGGCTTCATTTGCCTTGGGTAGCATATAATAATACCACCTAGCTCGTATTATTATTAAGGCTGTCAAGTGATTAAAAAAATCACGATTAATCGTGCTGCTAAACAATAATAGAATACCATGTATTTAAATTTTTTTGGATGTTTTCTACATTTTCAAATATATTGATTTCAATTACAACACAGAATACAAAGTGTACAGTGCTCACTTTACATTTATTTTTGATTACAAGTATCTGCACTGTAAAAAAACAAAAGAAATAGTATTTTTCAATTCACCTAATACAAGTACTATAGTGGGATAGCTCAGTGGTTTGAGTATTAGCCTGCTAAACCCAGGGTTGTGAGTTCAATCCTTGAGGGGGCCATTTAGTGATCTGGGGCAAAAATCTGTCTGGGGATTGGTCCTGCTTTGAGCAGGGGGTTGGACTAGATGACCTCCTGAGGTCCCTTCCAACCCTGATATTCTATGATTCTATCATGAAAGTTGAATTTACAAATGTAGAATTATGTACAAGAAAACTGCATTCAAAAATAAAACAATGTAAAATTTTAGAACCTGCAAGTCCATTCAGTCCTACTTCTTCAGCCAATCGCTCAGACACAGAAGTTTGTTTACATTTGCAGGAGATAATGCTGCCCGCTTCTTCTTTACAATGTCACCTGAAAGTGAGAACAGGTGTTCTCGTGGCACTGTTGTCATCAGTGTCGCAAGATATTTATGTGCCAGATGCGCTAAAGATTCATATGTCCCTTCATGCTTCAAACACCATTCCAGGGGACATGCATCCATGCTGATGACAGGTTCTGCTCAATAAGGCCTGGTCTACACTGGGGGGGTGGGGGGGGTCAATGTAAGATACGCAACTTCAGCTACGGGAATAGCGTAGCTGAAGTCGACGTATCTTATTTCGACTTACTTCCCATCCTCACGGCGCGGGATCGATGGCTGCGGCTCCCCCATCGACTCTGCTACCGCCGCTCGCCCTGGTGGAGTTCTGGAGTCGACGGGAGCGCGTTCGGGGATCGATATATCACGTCTAGACGAGACACAATATATCGATCCCCGATAGATCGATCGCTACCCACCGATCCGACAGGTAGTCTGGACGTACCCTAACAATCCAAAGCAGTGCGGACCGACGCTTTTTCATTTTCATCCTCTGAGTCAGATGTCACTATCAGAAGGTTGCTTTTCTTTTTTGGTGGTTTCGGTTCTGTAGTTTCCACATCGGAGTGTTGCTCTTTTAAGATTTCTGAAAGCATGCTCCACACCTCATCCCTCTCGGATTTTGGAAGGCACTTCAGATTCTTAAACCTTGGGTCGAGTGCTGTAGCTATCTTTAGAAATCTCACATTGGTACTTTCTTTGCATTTTGTCAAATCTGCAGTGAAAGTGTTCTTAAAATGAACAACATGTGCTGGGTCATCATCCAAGACTGCTATAACATGAAATATATGGCAGAATGCAGGTAAAACAGAGCAGGAGACATACAATTCTCCCCTGTCACAAATTTAATTAACGCATTATTTTTTTTAACGAGCATCATTAGCATGGAAGCATGTCCTCTGGAATGGTGGCCGAAGCATGAAGGGGCATACGAATGTTTAGCATATCTGTCATGTAAATACCTTGCAGTGCCGGCTACAAAAGTGCCATGCAAATGCCTGTTCTCACTTTCTGGTGACATTGTAAATAAGAAGAGGGCAGCATTATCTCCTGTAAATGTAAACAAACTTGTTTGTCTTAGCAATTGGCTGAACAAGAAGTAGGACTGAGTGGACTTGCAGGCTCTGAAGTGTTACATTGTTTGTTTTGTTTGAGTGCAGTTGTGTACCAAAAAATCTACATTTGTAAATTGCACTTTCACAACAAAGAGATTGCACTATGGTATTTGTATGAGGTGAATTGAAAAATGCTATTTCTTTATCATTTTTACAGTGAAAATATTTGTAATCAATAATAATATACATTTTAAATTACAACACAGAATACAATATGTATGAAAATGTAGAAAAACATCGAAAATATTTAGTAAATTTCAATTGGTATTCTATTGCTTAACAGTGAGATTAAAACTGCGATTAATCGTGATTAATTTTTTTAGTCGCGATTAATTTTTTAAGTTAATCGCATGAGTTAATTGCAATTAATCGACAGCCCTAATTATTATTTTTATAATGAACATCAGACAGAAACCAAACCTCACAAGCCAAAAGAAATCATTGAATCTAAAGAACGTGTACCTCAGAAGGAGACTAAAACCCTTTGGAAGTAGTAAGCGTGCCATTATGTTGTTGTTAATCTTATTAGAGGCAAGTCTGTATAAAATGTCTTGCTGCGGATGCACATGTAACAATCTGTAACACAGAATGTATTTTGGAGCTAATCCTGCTCCCGCTAAAGTCAGGGATCAGGCTCTTATTGATGTCAAGAAGTACCAGGTCCTGCGTAAATGCAGTTGAGCTTAGAAGAAATAATGGGTTATTTTACTGGTATAGTGAAAAAAAGATTAGATGTGAGCTTCTTTGCTTTGGCTTCCTTAGCCAAATAGTTGGCACAAGGCAACCAAAAGCTTCAGTAGTTCTTCTCTTCCTCTCCTCCCCCTCCCCGCCACACGCGCACACAATAACATCCCAAGTCTTTGGGATCTATCTTCTATTGTTTAATCAGCATTTCTCCATTAAAATGCAATTGCAGTTCTAGCTGCTAACAGTTGATTTGACTTTCGTTTATTATTTTTCATCACTTTCTAATAGTAAATATAATGGAGGTAGAGCTGCTAGTTGCCTTTCCATTGCAGAGCAGTGTTTGGCAGCCAGAATTATTCATCTTTGGGATGCTCGCACCACGTGATTAAATTTAAAAAATTTCTTGTTATATTAGCATTGTGCATCTTACTTAATCTTTGCAGGGTGACATATGTTCTTGTCATACCTACTCCTGAGTTATAAAATGAGGCACAGATAGAAATCTTGTATTTAAAAGCAGTAGGCCAGGAGTGTTTAGGGTTTTATAGTACTTAATGATTTTAATGGGTTTTAGGTTAGGCATTGAGGAGAGACACTTGAGTTAGTGTGTACACGTTATTTGTACAGTGTTGTCTATTTTTTTCATCTTGGTCATTCAGCACTCGCAAAAAGCAGGCGGGAGCGAAAGGAGCGTCCTGAGGACTTGGATGTACCGGCTGCTCTAGCCGATTTCCTCCATCAACAGAGAACTCAGCAGACTGAACAAGACATGTAAGAAATTAAATAGGCAACAGGATGCTGGAAATACACTAGATTTATATGCATTTTGTATGCAATCCTTTTATGCGTGTACCTGTCACATGCAGCACCTTATGTGGCTCTTCTCTGTGTCTATGCACATGCATGCTTCTTCACTTATAGCTGCCTCCATATATGTTCATAATTTTTTTATACCTATGCATAACAAATCCTGCCCTGTGCTAGGATTTCTGGTCAATACTAGGCAAACTGGTGGCTCACAAAGAGTATCTCTTGGTAACTACTTCCTGTGGCTCGGTGAAGTTGATTGGAATGATGCAGATTCCTTTTTTGTTATTTGTGCAGGTTTGCTCATCCTTACCAGTATGAACTGGAGCACTTTGTTCCACCAGATGAAGCTCTCGAGAAACCACAACTCCAGGTTAGTGCCCAGGTTAAATTAGCATTCGAATCTAGAAAAAATGTTGGAAGAAGTAGATAATCAGTTTGCAGTAGACCCTGCTTGTAGCCTAGTTATGATTGAGGGGAGCAGTTACAGCCTGTGATAGCAGTCTTTAATTCAGAAACTTTTGGGTATTATGGGAGGAGAGCACTATGTCCCCACAAGTGGGTATCTAATAACTTGCTTTGTCAGATGTACAGGCCTGTTGAGGACACACCCTGCCATTTTATCTCCACCCTGGATGAGTTGGTAGAACTGAACGAAAAGCTTGTAAGCTGCAAAGAATTTGCTGTGGATTTGGAGGTAAGTGTGTTGCTCTTTGTTTTAAATTACATATGTTGAGTTAGCACTTAGCAGGTCACATTATACTATTATCCTCCATCTTTTGCTTTGTGTACTATATCCTTTTTATGTTGAGTTAGGTGATATGTCCCAGGTCTGATGTGGGAAGCCTGCTACATTTTATTATTCAGAAGGCTGCATGGGATTTTGGCTGCCATTTTAACTTCTCAAACTTTATTCTATTGTAATAAGCTTTATATTGAATTTAGTCTGTTTTGAATTTTTCCTATGATCCTCTGGGTTATGTTGAGATCCATGGAAAGGACCAACTTCAAAATTAATTCGGATGATGTATTATTAAAACAGTAGCAATGATTGCAAAGACCTGAAATCTGTTCATGTCGTTAACTTTTGTCTAGAGGAATTCTTCATTCATTTATTGTCATCTTTTCCTCTGCTTTTGGTCATTCTGTGTTTCATAGTACCACTCCTGCAGGGGCTCTGAGTTAACGTCTGTCCTTTGTCTGGTAGCACCATTCCTATAGGAGTTTCCTGGGCTTGACATGTCTGATGCAGATTTCCACCCGGATGGAAGATTTCATTATTGACACCCTGGAGCTACGTAGTGACATGTATATTTTGAATGAGGCCTTCACGGACCCTGCTATTGTGAAGGTCAGTAGACTCTTCCAACCTATTCAGAATTATGCCCGGATAACTTATTTTTGGCTTAACTCTGTCCGAAAACATGCTTTATCCTCCTGCCCTGGCCAGTCCCTCCTTCCGGGGAAAGGTTGGCACAAGTGGAAGGCCATGGTATGGGCCTGATCCAATACCCATTGAAATCATTGGAAAGATTCCCCTTGACTTCAGTGAGCACTGAATCAGCCTGTATGACCTCAGGCCATAAGATGCTAGTAACATCTAAGTCACTGTTGTGAGAATGAGCACTGCTTAGTTGGTAATGGCCCAAAAATGGATATGACCACCCATCAGGAGGTCTTAGGCAGGTCTGTATCCATCAGACTGTGCTGGACACAAACCAGGTACCATTTCTGTTGTTCTTGATTGTAGGTGCTTTACTGACAAGTATGAAGACAAGGTCCCTGCCCCAAAGAGCTTGCCCACTAGATAAAAATGTGTAAACACAGGAGGGAATGGATGGGGAGCATCATAAGCAATGTCACTGAACAGTTAGCAGGCATCTTCTCAGGTCCAAAGCTCTTGGGTTTTACTATCTATTTTGGGAAGGGGGGGCAGGGGAGAAATACATTTTCAGTAGTTTACCAGTTGTCTGTTGAGAGGGCTGATTGTGGAAACATGGTCTGGGTGAAACCAAGTACTTGCTGTTATGCCACTAACAGTGGAAGGAGAAATGCCAGCAAAGAGGTCTTCGTTTAGAAACGTAACTTTCTAACTCTGGTGCTTCAGTGCTTCAGGCCCCTAAGTGGAATTGGTTATCCTCTCATCCCAAGTGCTATTCCACCGTCTCACATTCTTGTTTCTGATGCATTTGATTGTGTTGCCTTACAGGTCCTTCATGGTGCCGACTCAGATGTGGAGTGGCTACAGAAAGATTTTGGTCTGTACTTAGTGAACATGTTTGATACTCACCAGGCTGCCCGTCTCCTCAACCTTGGCAGGCACTCCCTGGACCACCTGCTAAAACTCTATTGCCATGTGGAAACTGACAAGCGGTATCAGCTGGCTGACTGGAGGATTCGGTAAAAGTTTTATCCTGACATGTTGGCATTAGAGTTAAGAGTCAAATTCAGGACTTGTTTGCATGTTAATGGGTGACTGTTTCACTTCTCAACCGACCCCCAAACGACATAGCTCACTGGGATTTTTGGTTAGTACTGTGGTGGTGGAGAACTGGAATAAAAGGGACAGGCTTCAAAACAGAGCTGAAATGTATTAGCAGATTTGTTGAATGGGGTTGAGATTAGTATGTACAGCACCTGCCTATGGTACACTGTGCTTGGCTGTCTATTTCAGCCCCTTACTTAGTGCTCATCAAAGTTCTCTCCAAATGCTGTAATATGTGTTTTTTAAAATCAGCGAAACAAAAGACTTTTGGAAGCTGACTTAATGCAATAGGAACAGTGCGTAACTACAGTGTAATGTTATGACAAAAGCTGCCACCTCCTTGAAGAAGTAATTGCTGCCACCTTCCCTGCATTGCTCAGCCTAGCATTCTAAAATTGCAATTCTGTTGTAACAGATGCACCACGAAAAAAAATTCTAACTTCCAGACAAAACTGCTATGTAAACCAGTACAGGGACTGAATGATGGGTTCTAGCTTGAGAATGATCTCTGCAGTGCAATCTCCCCTGGCCTACGAAGAGCACAGGTGCAGGCGCACAGTGGTAGCCACATTACTATACAAGGTACCCCCTGCCATCTGATTGAATGGGCTCCCCTGGGGATCCTGGTCTCCCAGATATAGGCAAGAGGTCAGATGGAGAAAATCCTTGTAATGGTGCCCACAAATGAGATTCTGGTGAGAGGACTCCATAGAATTCCTGGATTCGTTCTTGGGGGTAGACCCAGATGTAGCTTGTCTTTACGTGCTGTGGCAGAGGGCACTGCAAGGATGATGGATGGGCTACTATAAAACATTTGTGCAGCACTGATAGTTCTCTGCTTCCAGCCCTTTGCCGGAGGAAATGATCCAGTACGCCCGAGACGACACTCACTACCTGCTCTACATTTATGATAAAGTGAGAGAGGCACTATGGGAGAGAGGAAATGGACAGCCCACTCAGCTGCAAGTGGTGTGGCAGCGCAGCAAGGACATCTGCCTGAAGGTAAATCTTCATCTGGGGACCAATTATCTGGGTCAGAATACAGACTGTCTAGGATGGGAAGCACCCCAGGTTGGGCCTGGCCCATTCCCTACCTTCTGGCAGAATCCCTAATTTTCAGTATGTATATCAGGAAATAGTCTTACAGCCTTACTCTCTCTCCATTCCCACCTAGTGTGGGCTCAGCTGTTCCACTAGCTAAGGGACCTCTAGATCAGTGGTTCTCAACCAGCAGTCTGGGGGGCCACAAGCAGGTTTCAGGGGGTCCGCCAAGCAGGGCCAGTGTTAGACTCGCTAGGGTCCAGGGCAGAAAGCCGAAGCATGGGGCTGAAGCCCGGGGCCCTGAGCCCCAACGCCCGGGGCTGAAGCCAAAGCCTGAGCAAAGTAGCTTCGCGAGGGCTCTTGTGGCATGGGGCTCCAGGCAATTGCCCTGATTGCTACCCCCTAATGCTGGCCCCGACTTTTGTATGCAGAAAACCAGTTATTGTGGCACAAGTGGGCTGTGGAGTTTTTATAGCATTGGGGGGGGGGGGGTGTCAGAAAGAAAAAGAGGTGCTCTAGGTGTCCTAGACCTTTTGTTATCTTCAAAACCGCTGCTGCTGATCCATATCAGCCTGCAGGTGTCAAGAGACTGAAACTTTTCAAGTGAGTCAATATTTACTCACATTTCTCTGGATAGCCCTAAGAAAAGCCCCAGATATTGGAGTACACTGTAACTTTATGACACATATACACTGCCAAGTGAAAACTAGTGAGAACAAGAGGTGGGTAGTTTTCTAATCGACCAAGACTTAAAGATCTGGTATGTCTGTGGATGCTCTTGGACTTGAAAACTTTCTTGCCTCATGTATCCAAATTAAAATGAAAAAATGAGCGTGGCTGGAACTAAAACATAAACAGTTGTCAGCCCCAAATGCTTAAGGTAAAAACCTCAAGTGGCTCCTCAGTCCTGACTTCCTGAGTCACTGTTGCAAACCATCCAGTCCTCTCTTGTGTGCTTGATTCTCTGTGCTAGAGAGAACACAGCCTGGGAAGTGCCAAAGGGAGTTGGTACATGACTCTGTTTGATATTGATCACCAATCTCTCTAATTCTTCCTGTTCAGAAATACATCAAACCCATCTTCTCAGAGGACACCTATCTTGAGCTCTACAGGAGGCAGAAAAAGCATCTCAACACGCAGCAGCTAACGGCTTTTAAATTGCTATTTGCCTGGAGGGACAAGATGGCACGCCAAGAGGATGAGAGTACAGGGTAGGAAGTCGTTCATTAGACACAGTTTTAAATGGATCTCTGCAGAGTGGTGCAGCTCGTCGAAAGAAACACTGGATCTGCTAAGAATGGTTGATTTGGGTGCTTCCTGTGTATCTAAGACACTATCCAGTGAAAGGCGCCGTACTTTACTTGCACCACTTCCTCCCTGTTCCTCTGACCCCCTAAACCCCAGATCAGAAATCACATCGGGGGAGGGAGGAGTTGCCTCTATGGTTTTCTAGATCAATCCTGATTTATTTCTCCTTAACTGACCCTAACTCTTAAGAACTTGGATCCAGTGCAAAATGATACATAAGGTGTTTTGTTTTTTTTTCTCCCCCTCCCCATTAAATTTCTCTGTAAACAAGTCTAACATTAACACAATTACCATGATATCAGTGCTACTGCTCTTTATGTTGCAGGTATGTGCTACCAAACCATATGCTACTGAAGATAGCAGAGGAGCTTCCCAAGTACGTATTGGTGCCTTTTTGTTTTTTTTTCTGTTTTTGTACAACTCTGAATGTAATTTGCTTGTCCCAGGTCCATCAGTCAGCTGGGTTTTCCTCTTACCTTGTTTTATTTTATTTTTTTTTACTTCTGTGGTTAGCTTGTTGCTCCCAGTAATTAGCACTGCTTTTGTCTTTAGTTCTTCAAAGCAGAGAAATTCCGTGCACAAAAGAATTAAGATGCTAAGCTCTTCTAGCATAAGCCAGATGGCTATGAAATACATGTGTCTTTGTGTCAGGAATACACAGCCTACTATGCAAAACATGGTCACACTGCTGCCAGTCATTGCATGTCCGTTCTTTTTTGAGCTCTCCATCAGTACTCTATAGGAGTATACACCTAGGTGTTGGTTCAGTTTGTAAAGGAAAATGTGTAGGTGCCACACCCCTCTCATGTCCCCCACAACATTCTGCCGTAAACAAGATTTTTTCGGAGGGCTTGGTATTCACAATTTACCATCCACACTTGAAAGGAGATAAAACTGCATCTGTGATTTCAAATCCCTCCACACTCCCTCTGTAAGAAAAATAGATATTGGACAAGGAGAGAAATTAAATCTGGATGCAGAAAGAACACGGGGGGGGGGGGGCTGAGCTTATGGGCTTTCCTTATGTGCTCAGACGTGGTATTGACACATTTGTAGTTGTTCTGGATAAACAGTGATGACTAATCTGATTTGCCTTACTCAGTGAAGCGAGGCCTCTGATTACATCTGGTTGACTCTCCTTTGCATGTGGAAGTTTGATTTATCAGCTGATTATATAGCAAACTCGGTTTCATTCATTATGTCTTTAGAGAACCCCAGGGCATCATTGCTTGCTGCAACCCGATCCCACCACTAGTCCGCCAACAGATCAACGAAATGCATCTCCTCATCCAACAGGCCCGAGAGATGCCTCTGCTCAAGGTACAAAGATCTTCTACCAACACATAACAAAACTCAAAAGATGCGGACTTTATTGTGGAATATCTCTTGCACCTTGTCTTCCAGAGGTTCCTATTGATCTCATAGGTATTGAAATCTAGAAATAGTCTACATGCAAGGCTATAGAGCAAGGCTGCTGCTGGGGATTGCCATTTGTGTGTGAGACAGTAACTTCACTTTGAAGCCTGAGTACTGTACAGTATGCTAGAGTGCACACAGAAGCACTTCCTGTAGGCATTTCTTCCTACCCCCACAATGAAATCTCACTGCAGACTTCAATGCAGTTCAGGCCCTTAAGGGAACTAAGGGAGTAACAGGGTAGAAATATTCAGTCTTGAGCAAAGCAATCAACTGTGAGGTTTCTGAGGCATAACCCCTATTCTGCCTTTATGCACACATCACATTTACCTACAAAGGGAATAAGAGCTTGTTGGATGCACATAAGAAATCACCAATGACAAAGCCCACACAACTGGCAAAGCAGAAACCTACACGCAACCTAGAGGCTTGGAATGAGGTTTAATAAAGGTCAGCACATACCTGCTGTTACTACAACAGAGCGCATCCTCTTACAGGGAAATTAAGCCATTCCTGAGCACAAACACAGCCTTGCTATGTGAACAGCTTCCACACCCCCGGGAGGGAAATGTAGAACTGTTCTTCTGCTAGCTGTGTTGAAAAATTTGGTAGGGGGAAGCTTGTGCCTGCTGGGCTAGATGCTTCAAAGTTAACCATTAGTAATTTTCTTATTTTTTCTCTCCCCTTAGTCTGAAACTGCAACGGCGGTGAAGAAGAAAGGGTCTCTGCCCAACCCAGAGGTACTATCTGTGTCATGCTAAGCATGCTAATGTGTTAAACCATAAACTCATAGAAACTGCTATAGCAGAGGTCCATATCGTGAAGCATGAAGATTGTAATTTTATTCTAGCTAGTTATACTAAATCCACTGACTAGTTTTTTCCATTTGACAAACACGTCCCTCTGTTAACCCAATTTTATCCTTGTGTGCTATAATGCTTGTAAAACTACCAGTCATGAGTCAATATTTTAAAAGCTCCAAACAAGACTATAGTAAATAAGTCTTCCATCAGTAAACACTACAGTTGCTGGACAAAGTTTTGTGTACGTTTGTTATAATCTCTCTTGACTGATTTTAAGAAGGAAAATTTCAGATGAGTTACTACAGCTGTCCCAGTCCTCTACCTTGTGTCTATGAAGCAAAGCATTCTTGCTAGCCAGTAGCCATTTGCACAGCCATCCTTTTAGTGTCAGATTCACTGTGCAATTTAAGATGAGCTATATTAGAAATACTTAGCCTCAGAACATCACCCATACATTTAAATTGTGATTAGCCTGTCATTTTCCACTCTGTAAATTCCCCTAAAGCATCCCAGAGCAAGGTTCTGTATTGATCACATATGTAATCTGAATTTGTTTGCAGAGGCTGGAGAATCATTTGTTTGGACCTCATGACAATTCACGTGTTCCTCTGGATGATATTCAGAACCTCTCAGCCTTAGGTAATTTGGGAAGGATGGGAGACAGCCTCTGACTTCTGCTAATATGGAAAAAAATCAAGTCGTTTTTTCTTTGACACCTTAAAATAAGCATTTCACCTTCAGTGGAAGCTCATTTGCAGAGCCAGGGAGATCATAGCAGAATACACATCCAATAGGAATGGAGTATTCAAAACCAGAAACGTTGTTTTCCTTTCTCTGCAGAGCCTGCACCAGTTCTGGAATGTGGGAGCCTCTTTTCGGACAGCGAGGGGGAGATGGACGGCACAAGGATATTACCCAATTCCACGTGTCTTGTTGCTACAGCCACCATCAGTATATTCAGTGTAAGCTCCAGTAATATGAAGGGGTCTGCAACTGGTGAAGCGTTCTAGTAATGCTGCACAAAAGGTAGCTGCAGAGGAATAGGGTATTCATGGAGATACTGCTGTGCTCCCTGTCAGGTGTACAGCATAACCAAGTTCAGCAAGTAGGAAGCTGGCAAGTGGATTAGCTCTTCTTACAGTCCCAGGGTCACTGCCCACACTGGGCCTTGAGGTGGATTAGGAAATGATACTGCGATAACCTGAGGAGCCCAAAAATACAACTGAAAATTCACCTACTACTAAAACAAGCAGCAGGTGTGAAATGGGTACTGTTACAGAACAGAACTTTCTAGGCTTGTCAAGTATAGAAGTAAAATTCAGTACTGCCTCAGTTCCCCATCTCGCTTCCCTCCATTCCCCCTTTTCTCTCTCTCCCCCTCCCCCCGCCCGCCGCCGCTGCAAGTAAGCGAAACCTAGTTGATGATGTATCCGTTTTTGGCACTAGGGGATATCCTTAAATGTCTTTGGCTTTTACTAACTCTACTAGCCCTTAAAAGCCTCAGGTCACACGTGTTTCAAACAATGCTGGACTCATTGTCTATATACAATCTGTAAGTAACTTTTTATGTATTTTATATGCTAATGGTTTTTCTGCATTCCTTAAGGAGCCTGATGTGGATGAAGGGAATGAGAAGAACTTAACAGTCGCACAGCAGAAGGCTCAGCGCATAATGGAGTCCTTTGAAAATCCGTTTAGAATGGTAAAGGGCACTGTATATACTTTGTAGTGACAGCTGGTAAATTGAGCAATATCATGGGTCCCATAAGAGAAGGAATTTTCATAAGGCAGGGTTAGTAGAGCCTAGCATGAAATCAGCTACTGCTCATTTACTGGAATCACAAGGTTATATGCTTAGATGTATTTTGCAAGGAAAACAATGGGATTTGGTTTTGAAACTTGTAGAGTGGATGTTAAGGAGGCACTTCAACAGGTTAAAAAAATCATATGTTTTTAAAAACTTAAACTTTTGTTAGATACCTTTAAAACCATTTTTTTAATCTAGTTTTTCATCTTTGACTGTATTTTACATCTCTCAGCTTGATGCTGAAAATAAACTAGTCAGTTCTCTCTTGATTTGAATCTATTTCATTTCTGGTTTGCCATGTTCTAAAATGTATTTTGCCAGTGTGTTTGGACTTGCAAACTGGAGGATAATGTAATCAAAAGTGTTTCCATTGGATTTACTTTTAATAGAAATATTTCTATTGGCCTCAAGCTTTGTAATTTTGGACAGGGGTGAACTGACATTCTTTTGAACCATTAGCTTTCTGTAGAATTGATGTTACATGTGACCTTTTTTTCCAGTTAGCACCTACTAAGTGTGCATCTCAGCCGTCAGTGACTTCCCCTGACATGTATGCTGCCTGCACCCTGTAGCCTGCTGTGTCAAAAGAAATTTTTCTTTTCCTTTTCCTAGTATCTGCCTTCAGAACAGAATCCTGCCCACATCTCACAATCAGCAAAGTTTGACCCATCATCAAAAATTTATGAAGTGAGTGTCTACTTGCCAAATTTCCTGAAAACTGCTCAGCTCCTTGTGAAAGAACCAGGTGACAACAAATGAATTCCGAGTCCCCTTTGGAAGTTTCTGAGGGGCGTGAGATTACTTGGATTTACTTTTTTCCTTTTTGCTTCCCTTTCGCCTCAGAAAAGGGGAAACTTTTTCAGACTTCTACAGCATTCCTCTCCTCCAAAGAACAAGGGAAACACCAGCTCATATCTCCCACAATGCAAAACATTGAATTACAACTAGACACCATATCTGCCCTGGATCCTTTGGTGCTAATTCATGTGGCTCAGGGCTCTTTACAGAATAAAAAAAGTCATATTTTAACCATGGTTCATGCAACAAATTTTAATCTCCAGCGTAGTCAAATTTGGTGTTCTGTACTCCAAAATGAATGCCGGTGCAGGTCTGTAAACTCCTCCCCCATTCTGTCTGACTTCAGAGTGAGTGATCCTGGATGATTTTCTTTTGATGTAGATCAGCAATCGGTGGAAGTTGATGAGTCAGGCACAACTGCAGAAAGAGGCAAAGGAAGAAGCCAAAAAGAAAGCAGTACAGCAGAGAGGTAACACCCACTTTTTTGGACTGAGATTGAGGAGAGGGCTGGGGGAGAGAAGGTGGATTTTCCAAACCCCTGAATGTCCCTTTCCCTGTAACACCACTATTCAGGCCCTGCATCTTAACTAAAGCCTTTTCAACCAAGACACTCTGAGCAAGAGTCCTTTCAGAGCCAGTCAAAACCAATTTTAGCTGATTTGGGTGGTTAGCAGTGAATGACCTAAGGTCCTCCTCTCCTTCCTGCCTTACCAGCAATACATCCGTAGTACTCCTTACCTTTACAGAGCGTAAAAGGTCAGGACTGGAAATCAAATGCAGATCTGATTGTTTGGTAGTTCAGAGTGCTTGCATTAAAACTACCATCATCATAACCCATAGTTTTTAACTAGAAAGTCTCCTTTCAGCATGGCAGGCCACCTCTTTCCTCTGTCTAATCCTTGTATATTTGTAACGGGCTAAAACATACTGCTGTTCGAAACGGAGAGATTGATACAGTCAGTGGAACAAGGCCCAGTGTAAACTAGTGCTTTGCAAACTTCCATACACACAGCTCTTCCAGTGTGTTTCTATGCTAACACGCAGTATCCCTTTTGTTTGCGTATTAGCCATTCACTGACAAGAGACTGCAAATAGTGCTTAATTATATGTATTCCAGGCTGACTCCTCTAAATTCACTTCCTCTGTAACCAGTTCCACATAGACTGCAGGTATCCAGTGTTTGAAGGCTGGCACGTTAATCTGCACAGTTATTACCAAAAAACCCTTAACACTTTCCATTTTTGTTATTCCTCAGGTAGAGAAGGTGCTTAAGACTTCGGCAGACCAGTGATTAGTCAAGTATCAGAGGGGTAGCCGTATTAGTCTGGATCTGTAAAAAGCAACAAAGAGTCCTGTGGCACCTTATAGACTAACAGACGTATTGGAGCATAAGCTTTTGTGGGTGAATACCCACTTTGTCAGACGCATGACATGGGTATTCACCCACGAAAGCTTATGCTCCAATACGTCTGTTAGTCTATAAGGTGCCACTGGACTCCTTGTTGCTTTTTAGTAATTAGTCAGTCGTCTTGGGGACATCCAAAATCTTTTCTAGGGAGCCAGCCCAGCGGGATGCCTTAGTTTGCTGATTGATTGCCCTCAATTATTCAGCAGGTGGGAGTGTTTCAGAAAGAGGTGGTTAGAGAGAGCTAGGGGAGCTGAGAGCTAAGGTGGAGTGAGATTTGAGATAAACCATTCCCCACCGCCCAACAGACTATTGAGGAATCGGCCAGCTGGCTTCCCCATAATCTAGATATGGTATGCTCCTGTCCTGCCATAGTCTGGGGGATATAACCCCTTTTAGATCACGAGTTTTCTGATGAATGAGGTTCACATCATGAAGATTGTCTCTATGTGGTATCTGGGGTAAGAGGATTGCCCTTGCAAAACAAGCTTCTCATTCTTTCTTGAGAGCGATCTTTGCTAATGCAGTCCTGCTTTCCTGCATGTCTCTTGGCTGAATCTCTGTTTTGTTCTTTTCACAGCTGCTCGTGAACAGGTGCAGAAGGAGTGCAAAGCAACAGCAGAGAATATTGTCTCAGTCCGTCAGCAAGCTGTGGTACGTACAAATGTTTGAGTGTGAAGGACAAAACAAGTATCTCTAAAGCTACCCCTTTAGCCTTCGCAAATATAAACTCTCTGCCCTCGATCCAGGACACTTAACATCTCTCTGGCCCTCTGAATCTATGGATTGAACCTTTCCTGGGCTTCTGACCCTGTACACAGCCACAGGCCTCGTTTCAGACCTCAGTGAATCTGTGCTGGGCCTCACCCTACTCCAGTTTCAACTCTCCTCTATCCTAGAGAATACTTGCCATGATCTTATCTCTGTCGTCCTCTTTCTCGGTTCCCCCCAAAATGTGTACATAGACCAACAACAGATTCAGGCCTCTAGTGTTATGATTGTCAGCAGTATTTCTAATCCGAGAAGCCTCTGCTATGGGAGCAAGGCATCTTTAACCTTGGATCTCAGTACAGAAATGATGTTTCCCCCAACCCCCATTATGGTATCCATGGCAACTGCCATCTGAGCCCAGTGTGACGGGGCAGAGAGGTTATCGCATTTCCTTCCTTGGGTGTGTTGCTTTTACAGCAGGAACAGGCCAGCAAGAAGAGGGAGAGAATCACCAGTGAACCAGGAACAGAGACACCAAAACAGGAGAAGAAACGGCCAAAAGGCTCCCAGCAGCCAGAGGAGCAGGAAATGCCAAAGCAGTTCACCCCCTTTGATTACAGCAAGTCTAACTTCAAGGTGTTCGCTGGTAAGAGCTGGACTCCCCCCTACGAGGCTGCAGGCTGTGGAGACCATTGCCTGGCTGAGCCCTGGGGCTGTGTGGGTGTATAGAGCTCTGTGACATCCAAACAGTAATGTCTTTGCCCTGTACTAATGGAAGAATTGGGAATGATTTTAAGAAATCAGCCTGGTGAAGTGGATTGCTCACCATCCGTCCATGTAATTACAAAACCAGTTGAAATGTTCTTGGAATTACCAAAGGCAGTGGCTCCTTTTTCTGCACAATAGAGTAATGTATTTCATTAAACCCTGCAGAGTAGAAAATAGGAGAGACTTGAATCAGGTGTAATGAGGATCCATTTAAAAGCTTATTCTCTCCTTAGCAGTATACTCTGTTTCATAGTGAGGGAAAGACAGCCCTGTATATTTCATTACAGCCAAAGAGCACTTGCTATTGGTGTGAATTTACTGTTCATTTAAAAGAACCTTTCTAATAGCAATTATTCTCCACTCCGTGTCTGTCTCAGGAAACAGCAAATCCAAGCAGTCATCCCAGTTTGATCCAGCCAAGCAGGCCCACACAGGCAAGGTAAGGGAACACTCTGAAATGAGGAACAGAAATAAAGGTGATACAGTGTGTCTGTAGACATGTCAAACCTCCCCTAATAGCCACTTGATGCTGAGATGCAGGCTTTCAATCACTAATCCATAAGGCTTGTTACAAGCCCTCTTCCCATGTGCACCCTCCTCCTGCCACTCCGACTGATGTGCAGATGGTACCCACAAGCTTCTCTTTCAGATCATTACAGCTATGTGTAGAGTTTAACAAGTGATCAGTTTACATGTGATACTGTGGGAAGTGCAGTTTCCTGTGCAGTCACTTCAATGTCAGTCCAAACTCATTCCACAGAGAGAGATGAGATGTAGAATAAAATGAAGCATGGTGGTGGGGATGAGTTGGGGAGAAGAAAAGGGGATAGGTCCTCTTCAGGATCCCTCTCTAATTGTAGAAATTTCATCTCCATGGAATCTGTAGACAGAAATGTCAAGCAGAAGCTCCTAGTCAGGAATGCTCATTTCAGGTGAATGAGAGAATATGTTGTAGTCCAAAACTCACAACTTAAATGAGCAGAAAGTGTTCCTTGAAGGTATGATGGACAAGACAGGGTTGGATGCGAGTAGAAGTATCATGTGAAATATATTTTGTTAGTTAATGCACTGGTGGGTCATTTTTCCTTTCATATAGAAATTCTCTGGAGCCAACAAACTTCAGCACCCAGCTGGAAATAAAAGCATGTCCTACCTGGCTGGGAAAAGTGATCGGTATGTTGTTGAACGGTTCTCTGCAAAGTGATGGAGTGTTCCCCACTCAAGTGCCCTGGAGTCATAGGCAAAGCCACTGTTATACTAGTTCACACAGCAGTATCTGGACATGCTTAGCATGAGAGCTGCACAACACCTACTGGTGTTCATTGACATCAGCCTCAGAAATCTAGTCCAAGATTAATGTGAATAAAGACAACCCTGGCAGAAGATCTGAAATCCTGAGGTCACAGTGGTGCTAGTCTTATGGGAGATGCAGCCCTGGACCAAAGATCAGGCTGTACGGAGAGAGCACATGTCTAACCAGGGAGTTAGAAAGGAAAGCGATGGTGTTGGCTCATATGAAAATTCCGCTGAGACTAATTCCCAAGATATTTAGTTTGCAGTTCCCAGGCATAACTCTTATGGGGAGGTAGCCAGAGGGGCAGCATTGTGGCCCATAAATCCCCTGCAGCTGCAGAAGAGCAGCATTACTTTGACTCTCATTGAGGTGGAGATAGCAAGAGAGCTTGTTTCACCACCGTCTCATTACAGCCTTGCTAGCATTTCATAGGCTTTAAAGCTCAGGTGAACTTCGAACCAAAACTATTTTAAATTCTTTCTGTAACTGTTTTTGCAGGGGCTCCAGGCACAGCTGGCCAAAAAGATAGTGTTTTGTAAGAGATCCTGTGGGAACTGCCAATGAAGAAAAGTCTCTGTTGTCAAGCTGTGGAGAGGCAAATATCAATCACTGCTGCAGTTTTTGTACAGAAATCTTTTAAAAATAATTAAAACGCTTTTTCCAAAGGGGAAAACCAATTTTAATTGTTTTGTCTTTGGCCTTTATTATATTTACATTTTCAAAAGTGGTTGGAAAATGTATTTGGTGTCAGGCTGAACCTGTTGCCACCTTCCGCTGTCTGGAAGAGCAGAATTCGACATGTCAGTTGGATGTGGGATTAACCTGGTTCGTATTGCCAAAGCCAGCACAGAAATAATCAAGAGATTCAACAAATGTGCAAATATTTGTGACTTGAACTAGATATAGGGGAACAAATCCTGTACAAATAGAACAGCAAAGGAACTAGAGCCAGACTGTCCCTATGATGCCAAACTGCCTGTTTATTCTGCAAGCCACAGTAATGTAGAAAATGCATTTGCTTCCCAAGCAGTAATAATTTCAGTGCTTAGAAGAGAAGAGCGCAGGTACTTCTGAATTGAATGAAAACCAACAGTTACTGCTTTGCTTGACTGTTACAGAAATGAACACGGACTGAAAGCCATGTAAATAGGTTGAAGGTTAAAACACAACTGGAGAAGACTGAAGGGATCTGTTTGACATTGCTCACTCCTGTGCTACTCTGTATTTTAATGTCTAAGAATCTCAAAGCTTGTTCCACGTGTTGAAAAATGAAGGCTTATTAATGCCCCTGTGAGGCAGGTAAGTAGTATCCCCATTTTACAGCTGAAGAAGCACCAAATTGAAGTGACTTGGCAAAGTCATACACTGAGTTAGTGGCAGAGCAGATACTAGAACTCTGGACTCCTGGTTGTCTGCTCTGACCCCTGGGTGCTGCTCCCTTTCCTATTGTCCTTGTCCTTTTTTTCTCAGACCTGCATCACTGCATAATGCTGCTCTGTTTTTTAATCTTCCTGTTTGAGCCTAATCTCTAAGTGTTAATCTAGGCCTGGTGACAAGCAGCAGGTGAGCGAATGCAAAAAGGTCCTTTCTGTTTTCAGAGGCTTCCAATCTGAGAACTTGATTTCACAAAAAAATTAGTGACGTGCATGGTGGGTTTTGTTCATTTAGGAGTTTTGCCATGAATAGTGTCAGGCAAATTACATTTTAAGAGTGGCAGAGCTGGGTCCGTTCCTGCTCATGAAAGCCATTTGCACAGCTGAATATTACACCTGCAGAATGTCTTTGAAGGGGTGCAACTGAACAGCAGTTTTCTTTGTGAACATGTGCCATTCCACAGCCCACTCCACATTTGCTGCCAATTGCAATTCCCTTTCAGCTTTGCCACCTCTGCTACTTTTTTAATGGATGTATCAGTGAATCTATTGAAAGACCTATTGACTGTGGGGATTAAAATAATCTGGTTTCTATAGGCTCCTTTTCCTCATTTTAGACGTATGTGCAATGTAACATTTTCAAAGGTTGGGCTTAAATTTCATCTTGATTTTTTTTTTTTTTCCCCATTTTGAATTGAGGTTTTTCATAGGTTTTAAAAATGCCCTTAATGAATATGACTGGCAAATTTATGCATGCTTTATCCACGTACGTGAGATTATAGCTATAATTCAGATGCAGTCCTCATGCTACACTTTTATGTTGCAGGGATATTTTTTTTCTACCAACAGCCAAGGAACTCTTTTTTTGCTTAAAAATAATTTTTGATAACTTCTTAGGAAAAATCCCCCCAAGAATTATACCAAGGTCTGCTCTTGAAAATATGTGCCATGTGTCTTGTACTATTTCTGGATGTATCCCCAGGCATAATAATATACTCCCATAGCATCTAATCATTTTTTTAAAATCCAGCTAAGATTTTTCAAAAGTGACCAGTGATTTTGGGTTGCCTCAGTTCTTGGGGGTCACACGTCCACGGACCCAATTTTCAGAGGGTAGGTGCTGAGCGCTTTCTGAAACTCAGCCCCCTTTCAGATGTGTGTAGATGGACACCCAAAATCACTTGTCATTTATTAGTATCTTAATCCATATGTTAATTACTGTACAGTAATGGACTAATATAAAAGTGAAATGCTTGGCTGCTTAGAAGTTACTTGGTACTTTTGTAAAGAGAACAGACATCCTTTAATGTACATGTGGTTGGCCCCTTGTATAAATCTGCACCTCAGATCTGTAATATGCCCATCATTTTTCATATTGAATTATTTTAGTAAAGCAACTTACAATCATATCTAATTGCTTTACAGAAAGCACTAGAAAATAAATATACACCAGTAACTTTAAATATTATTGTATGGAAGTGGTGTTTGCATTGTCCCTTAGTGGTTTTGCCCTCAGGTACAGTATTCTTGATAAAGAATCTGATTCTGCAATCCTTCTCATTTTGAATAGCACTTACATGAGGAGACTTTTTTTTTTTATAGGACTGCTCACAGGAATAAGTACTACTCAGTGCAAGTAACAGTTTCAGAACTGAGTCCTCTATTTTAAAGTATTTGTAGGGGAGGCATTCTGGATATCATGTATACATCAAAAGTTCTTTCAACATCAGTTCTAATCATAGAGTGTGGATTGTACAGTTGAACGTAACAGTGCCCTGAGATCTCAAACTAACCACATAGCAGGATGTTAAACACCTTGGAGTTATTCTTGCCTTGCAGTTAGTTCAATATTTTAATCAGCAATATTGTAGTCCCCGTCCTATTTTCACACATGCCTCAGAGAAGGTAGAGAGATCAGTGATGTGTTAGTGGATATGAACAGAACACCTACAGACTACTGAGAGCCTATTTAAGTAGCCAGATTGGATTGTGGAGCTTTCATGTTCATCGCATGGCTCTAATCAGTGGGGAATATAGAGTGGGTTATACTCACTTTTGCAATTGATGGTATTTATCCATTCTTCTAAAGATGTAATATACCTCATTTCATCTTGACTCTTAAGTAACACATCCCTATGCCTCTGAAAGGCCAGTGGCCAAAGATGAGCAATAGTCAGGCCTGAGCAAGTAGTAACTCCTCCAGATCTAAAACTGTCTTAGGTTTAAGTTCCACTCTATTCCAGTGTCCTGTAGGGCTACAACAGGAACTCTACACCATTAGGAAAGGGAGAATGCTTATTCCCAGTGGAATCTAGTAAAAGTTTCTATTCTTGCCAAGAGATACTGGCTTTTAAAATCATGACATTTTAGGTCTAGAAAAGTTTATTGGAAAGGGAGTTTTATTTTTTCCTCCTGCCTGCTACATCGATGCACTCCTGTGGAACCAAGTGCCTTCTTTCACAGATGCTAGGAGAAAGAAAATGTCCCACTAATCTTTTTAAAACTACAACAACATTCCTAAAATAGTATATGTGTGCCACATGGGCCATGTACAGACTATGCAAAGTTGTGCAGGGATAGGATTTTATCAGCTCTTAGTTTGGGTTACTTTGTATAAATCTCTTGTCTTAACCAATGCAACCACCCCAGACTCACTGATATTTCTGTTGTACACCTAAATATGTTAATATCTCTGTATACAATAGTGTAAGACAGTATTTGTGAATATTTCACACGTTCGGTATACAGTGCTAAAAATCAATAAAAATGAAAGAGAAATGACTTGCAATTTCTCTCATTCAAGAGTGGCATCATACAGGGAGCTTCATACATGGAGCTACTATCCATATGTCCTTTCCCTGGCCTCATGTCTTTTTCCCTCCTCACTTATTACTATTTTGTTTCAATTAGAAAATAGAAAGGGGATATGCACTCTGCTCCAAGGAGCTCCCCTGAGGTGCGGGGAGAAAGGATAGAATCAACCCTGGATTTCTACCTTTACCTCACTAGCTGGGGGAGAGAAGGTCATACGTTCAGAACTTCAGTTTCCTCTTCAGCAGGGAGCAGTCATGCACCCCCATCCCCAGAGGCGCATACACCCCATTGGCCCATCTGTCACAAGCCCAACTGCCCCTTAGTCGTACATAGAGCAGACTAGGTCACATCCCCATCTACCCCACCCTCTAGCCACAGCCCTAGAGTGAGATGGGAGGATCACACATCTGTCCCCCCATGACCGGTCAAGCCCACACACACACGCACACATAGCGAGGGGGCAATTCCACATCCACCGCCCCCCCACACACACACACAGCGGGGGGGTGGGGGGGGAGGGGAAAGATCACTTCCCCACACACACACCCTGAGGGGGAGTCGCTTCCCCACACACCCAGCGGGGGGGGGGAGGAGAGGGGATCACTTTCACACACACACACACACACCCTGAGGGGGGGGTCGCTTCCCCACACACCCAGCGGGGGGGGGATCACTTTCACACACACACACACACACACACACCCTGGGGGGGGGCCCCCTCCCCCCCCCCCCCGGGGGGGGGGGGATCACTTTCACACACACCCACCCTGAGGGGGGGGTCACTTTCACACACACACGCACTGAGGAGGGGTCGCTTCCCCCCAGATACACACACACACCCTCCATTTCCTGCAGTGCAGGGTCAGGGTCTCTTTCCCATCCATAACCCCTACGTGGCCCCCACGGAGCCGGCCACACTAACCTGCTAGCTGTATTCGCCGTACCGCAAGACACAGTCGCTAGAGCCGCCAATAGAGGCTGCGCGCTGAGACAGCGAACCAATAGCAACCTTCAAAGCCACGAAAGGGGCGGGGCTTGGTTCCGATTGGCTGCTGGCGGCCGGGGCCCGCCCCCCCCGGGCGCTATCAGGTTCGGGTGAGGAGGCGGCGTGCTGGCGGCAGGTGCCCGCGCTGCTGTGGCTGGCGCGGCCTGTGGGGGCCCGGGCGGGATGGAGCCCGGGGCGGCGGCCGGGGCCATCCGCGAGGGCTGGTTCCGGGAGACCTGCAGCCTGTGGCCCGGCCAGGCGCTGTCCCTGCAGGTGGAGGAGCTGCTGCACCAGCAGCGCTCCCGCTACCAGGAGATCCTGGTCTTCCGGAGGTGCCGGCCGGGGATGGGCCGGGCCGGGGCCGGGGCCGGGCCGGGGATGAGCCGGGGATGAGCCGGGCCGGGGATGAGCCGGGGATGGGGCCGGGCCGGGATGAGCCGGGGACGGGCCGGGGAGCGGGCCGGGGCCGGGGATGAACGGGGCTCGGAGCGGGCTGGACGGGGTGACTCGC